AAATTTAGGATGTGTGTTTTTTCTCAGTATATATTTACGTAGCCTATAGTTCTAAATTAATTATAATATATTATAATTTAATTTTTATTTTGTCACGTTCTAATTTAATTTAACGCAAATTTTAGAGAACTGTAATTTTATGTTGGTTCTTTGGTAGTGCTTGTAACATTATTACGTTACTTAGCCTTTATGATCGGCCGAAAGTATCTATTCTAACTAGTGCCATTTACATGTCATTCTATAGAGTCTTTTGGGCTATAGGTATAGCATGGATTATGATAGCGTGTCTTACTCAGCATGGTGGTTAGTAATATTATTTAATAATATTATAATTAAATAATCTTTATCAAATCTACACAAATAAATTATTGTATAATAAATTCATGACCATCATATTCAATTTAATTTAATTTTTAATTTACGCTTAAAGTTCTTATTTTCAAACACACGAAATGTCAATTTTAGTTATAATATCGAAGAAATAACAGGCTTGCAAATAAATTTTTATTTTTTGGATTTTAAACTGACGGTCTGATTAAATTGAATATTTACAATTTTATAAAAGAAAAGAGCGAATATAAATTGTAACTTAAAAAAAAGTTAATAAGTTAAAAAGTTAATATATTTAAAATAACTAATTATATTTAACAATAAACTCATTTGAAAATAACTGAGTTAAATTACAAATTATTAACTCATTCAAATTTATTATTTAACTTCTATATTTTTAATTAGTTATTTTTCAATTCTAGTCATGATAAATTATAGTGGCATAATACATATAAAATATAAAATACCACACAATCTCATTTTTTAATAATATATAATATTATAATTTTGTAATTTATAAAAATATATTAAATTAATCATCCAATATTTGACTATTACAGGCATCGTTTATCAATTCTTATCATTCAAAGGTTGGGCTCCTTTTAGCAGACTATCATATGGCGCTTATCTTTTAAATCCTCTCATTGTACACTTACTTCGCCTACAAAGTGAAAAATCTGTTCATTTTGAATTGATATCCGCAGTAAGTAAACGAATATTTAAAAGTCTGAAAAATATAATTTGTTATTGTCACAACTTTTTATTTTCAGCTAACTTTGTGTATAGGATATTTTATAATTATTTATATTTGTTCTTATATACTATCCTTAATAGTTGAAGCACCGTATATCTTGCTAATGCGAAAAATGATGCAAGCTTGTAGTAGAAAAAAAAGTAAATGGCGTAACAGTGAGAAATTATAATTTTGCATACAAAATTGTAATGGATCTATTGTAACACATTGCAGATGATATAAATACCTAATAATTAATCGCTCATCTGGAGGTTGCGTCCTCAAATAAAATTTATAAACGACATATATTTATACAAGTTTATTTTCAGTTTTGATAAAGCTTTGAAACTGAAAAATTTAATTGATATAAATAATCGAGAATAATTAATATAAATAATCGAGATATAATTAATAGAGAAGGAATATATGTTCAATGTTGTAATTATATTTTTATGTGCTCTGTGCAACGTTTTGTTTTTTAGGATATTCATAAATTTTTTATTAGGAAGAAAAAATAATAAAGTAAATACAACAACAATATAAAAGGTGTTTATAGTTCTAAATTAATTATAATATATTATAATTTAATTTTTATTTTGTCACATTCCACTTTAATTTTAACGCAAATTTTAGAGAACTGTAATTTTATGTTGATTTTTTAGTAGTGCTTGCTACATTATTACTTAGCCTTTACGCTCGGCCGATATAAGTAATGTTGATGTCCTTATTAACTCGATATATTCTATCAGAAAATCATTCTCGAAAAGACTCCTATATATATAGATCGCAATATTGCGAGATTCATTCTTATAAAATTCAGTCATTTATAAATTTAAATCATTCAGTTTGAGTATTCGATTCACATTGTTTTAAATCAGTCCTTTCAGTCAAGACCATAGTGCGTGATTAAAATCGATTGATCCAGAAGGAGGCCAATAGACAGACCTCCTTATTACCTTTTAGGTATCAGCAAATAGTAAATCTCATTTTATTATTTGTTCATTTTATTATTTGTTACGAAAATTAAATTAACCTATTTTATCATTCATACTTAAATTCGTATTTAAATTCTGCTCTAACTTTGGGGTAAATTTCTTATTGGTTCTTTCTATATTCAGTTGCCATTGTGCAATGGGACGCCTGGTGTTCGTATTGAATGCACTCAGAGTGCACAGTCTAGTAAAAGTCCGTGGAATTGAGATTCTCGTCATACCGTCATACCTGCTGAGTGCTGATCTTTAGCAGTAATTATCATTTAGTTGTAGAAGAAGAGAAATAATTATACTACAGGAACGTGATATTTATTTAATATGTCGATCGATCATAGTGGCAAAGGTTACACTCCTCTTCCACAAAGTTTAAGCAATACTGATACTGAAGATGAGGAAGAACGTTTAACTCAACCTAATGATATTTCTTACAAAGCTGACAACACTACGACAGCGGTAAAAGAATATATTCTATATGATTTTAATTAGTATATGTAATATGTATTATAGAAATACGCATGTCAATCATTAGTTGCATCTCTTTATGTAAACACCTTCCATAAAGAATTTTGTAGTAGTTTGGTAGTTATACAGTCTAGTCTTCTCAAGTAGCTCAATAAAATTAGGCTTAGTTGACGCGTTTTTGCACGAAACAAGAGAATCTGGTAGAAAAAAAGTGTCGCTTTGTCCGTGAATCGAGATATTAATCGTTAAAGTTGACGATTATTCAGGTTAGGAAATTTGTCACAGCGAGAACATATAAGTGAGGTTAGAACAAATATTTTCTGCTTTATACAAATTTTCTGTTTTCAAAACTAATTATTTTCTTATATGATTTTTGTTTTTATAATAGAATTTATTTTTAAAACAGATAAATACCTAAAGCATAAACATGAAAATTGCAACATATATCATAGTGCATGACTGTGATAAATTTTCTAACCTATGCGTCTCTAATATATTTCTAACAATTGCACTGATTCTTATTAGCCCTGATTTAATTTAGTTTTGATTATATTTTCAAGATTGCGAATTCTTTTTAATTATTAAATAGATGATACTATCAATATTTACAAATATTGTATTCAAATTTGTATTTAATATCTTATTCTTTTTTTATTTAGGAATTACATTCAAATCATGAAAATGGCACATTTCATCCACTGGATGAAACACAAACTCTAGAAAATAATACGAGAAACAGACAAAACATAATAAAATATTATCGAGATGATATACCAATAATGGTAATTGAAGGAAGTGAGCAATATGATGTTTGGAAAAGAAAAGATATATCGCCAATGAGGCGCTTCTGTTTATTTATGTCCATATTATTATGCATTATTACGATAATTATTTTTTTATATGTATTACCTTGTGATAATTCGATGATTTGTTCACCAATTATTGAACCACATTCTTCTATATCATGGGATAAAACATTGCAAGATGTAGGTGAGTTTATTATTGTGAGTTACATATTGTATTATATTTTTATTTCTATTTGCATTAGATATTAATAGTTATTTAATTAAATATAAAACTATTTTTTTCATGAAATAGTATAGGACAAGTTAAAAGTCAATAAGGAATCTTAATTTTATCTGTAACATCAAGGTGATAAAAATTAAAATTTATTTATTGACATACACTCATACACTTACTTGCTCATCTATGCAATTTTAATATATTAATTTTTAAAATCTTAAAATTAATTTTTAAAATCTTTTTATTAAATATAGAAATATATGGGCCTATTACTGTAATACTTGGATCTCCATACAATCTAATATTTCTTCTTCATGGTGAACAATATAAAAGAAATGATACAAGTGATGGAGTGACTCGTCAGCGACAGATACCTCCAGAAGGAGGAGGAGTTATATCTATGCAAGGAAATAATGGATTACCATTATGGCTGGTTCCATTAAAACGATTGCCTACTATTATAGATTGTACTAGTATTGATGTTGATCAATCTGGAAAACCAGACTGCATTGTTGCTGGTGAACGAGGCCTACTCATTAGCATAGAACCGATCGCTGGAACAATTCATTGGAGTGCTACAGCTCGCACAGTCCCTAAATTACCAGTTATTATACCAGACATTGATGCGGATAATATTGAAGATTTATTAAGTATAGCGGTAGATAATGCAAACATATCATCTCTTGTTCTTTTATCTGGCAAGACCGGTCAATTACTGGAACGTTATTCACTTAATAATTGCGTTCCCATTGATATATATAATCTTGTTCTTAATGGCAACATATCCTATCATTGTTATGATGACACTGCAAAATGTATGTTATTTAAATATTTCTTTATGTTTCTAGTTTTTATTTATATTATTAAGAAGTATTTATTTGTTGCAGATGTTACAAGATTTATGTCTTTAAAAGAATTATTCCATAATTTAAAAACACAAGTACATAAAAAATTTACAGAATCTATGGTAATGCCACGATTATTCAAAATTATAAAACCATATGAAAATGAATATAGTTGGAAACCTACTCCTTATCATCATTTGACTATAGAAAACGAAGGAGTATGCCCAGGACAATTTTGCCGTACCAGTATAAATCTAACTTTGCAGAGATTAACAAACGAACCAATAATTCTGTGGGATCATGTGAGTTCAAATACATTTGCATCGAAACCAGTGTTTTTTGTGACTTTGAATAAACTTTATACTTCTGGATTTGCCATTAAATTCTGGCAGTGGATGGATTTACCATTAGAACATACAGAGAAAACTATAACAGAACAAACACTTGTAGAAAGAGTTCTTATAGTTTTTGTGAATTATACTGATATTCAAGCTATTAATGCTAGTCAATGTGATGTAATACAATTGTGTCATAAATTTGACTGTCAACCAAATTTAAATTCGCGAAAACATTTTACTTCCATTGAAGTCAAGTACATCAATAATAATGAATTTCCAGAACTGATAAGTTATTGGTCTTCATACAACTTGAACTCAATGAAAATATTAACATCAAAAATACAAGTAATAAAAATGGATTCCATCATATCTAATTTGATACATGGAAATGTTTAGTTTTATCAGAAAATTATAAAATCATATTTTGTATTCAACATATGATTATACTTGCATTCTATTACTTAATGATGATCATCAATCATCTCGGATAAAATATCTTTTTTATCTGAAACAAATGAATTTTTGTGAATTGCTTCCTTAATTCTTTTATAATACATCAATTTTTTTATTAATTTTTTTTATATTACATCAACGAATTATTTTGATATATTTTATTATTTATTAACTGTTCATTTTTCTGTGTTTCTTGAATAGTGCCTTGAATTAAGCCATTATAAAAAATTTTATATTTTAAACAAATATATTTTTTGGAAATTCAAGAATTGAAAAGAATTTTTATTTAAAAATATTAGTAATTAAATAATTTTTTAAACAATTTTTTAACATCTTATAAAATTTAAATCAAGCATAAATAGTTGATTGATACAAAACACTTTCTATGTTTTACATGTTATTATGAATTATGTTGTTAATTTTCAATTTTTAATTGATCTGAAATCTAGTCATAATGTATTATCTTAATTCTCTGACCTTTAAATTCAGTATTATTGACTAACAATAACATATAAGTTAATTATTTAATATTTCAAAACGTACTGATTGAATTTACGAGAAACCTGTTACAAACTGGAACATTTAATTAATATGATTA